TTTCACACTCCACATTTTTCTTTTTTTTTCTTTTTTCTTGTAATGGTGGGACCCACTCATTTTCTCTCTACCACATAAGATAACTATCTTATGTGGAAGGAGATTAATAAAACCCAAAGTTTATATCATTATGTCATGTAAAATTTGTATATCTATCTTTCTCTTCACATGTATTAAATAAGAGGATACAATTTTTATTAATGTAAGAGGAGAGACACACAAAATTTTTACATAACTAGATTATGTGATATTTTAATTTGAGAAGATCCATTATGTTTCACGGTTCTCTCAATATTTGCAATATTTATCTTTTTAATTATGGAGCAGGTTATATTTACAAATTTTTTTGTTTACAAACACTTACAAACTACACTATGTTTTTTCGGGAGAACACTGGTTACACTATGTTCTCCCGGGAGAACATAGTGTAATTTGTAAAAAAAATTTAAAAAAATTTGTAAACGGATTCGTCTCTTTAATTATTGAATTTTAAATTAATACGTGTGCAATAATAAACAACAAACATTGATAAGTTCAATTAAACCATGACATTGCGACAAAAGAGAAGTTTTTTGCAGTACAAAATAAGTGGATATTAACAAATTATGGGAAAAAAGTTTCTGATGTTACTTTAGACAACTTTGTCTAATGTTCATTAAAACGACGTCGTTTTGGGGTTGAAAAATTAAAAAATTAGAATGATAAAGACTATTATAACCCTAAAATAAATTAAAATTACAAAAATACCACGATTTCCGTCTCAAAACGACGTCGTTTCAATGAACATTAGATAAAGTTATCTAAAGTAACTTTAGAAAAAACAAACCCATAAATTATTTCCAAAATATAGCCAGCTAAATGTTAATCTTTTTCTTTTTTTTAAATAAAAGGAAAAATAATATACTTTTTAATATCACGATAATTAAAACAAAAAACATAGTAGAATTCTGAAAGAGGAAACACAATTCAGGAGGAGCTAAAGAAGGGTTTTTCCGAACAATAATATACTTTACCATTAAATTAATTAATTAACAATACAGATTTAACTTTTTTAATACTATATGTCACGGTTTTGTTGTAACGTATTATTATTTTACTGGTAGCTTATAATTAATCAGCCTTAGAGCCTGTTTGTATCATTTTGTTTAGTTAGAAACTACTTATAAATTAAAGTTTAAAAAAACAAAAAAATTAATTGTTAATTACATAAAATTTTTAGCTTAAAGCACATATTTCAAGAAAACTCTCTCTTTATTTTTATAACTCTTAATTTTTTTTAAAAAAACACACAATTCAAGAAAAGCAGATAAGAGCTTAAAAAAACTCCTTCTAGGTGCTTTTAACTTTTAATTTTTTTCTTCCTCGTGAAAAAGAGTGTTTTTCATTATAAGGACTTTTCTCATAACCTATTTGGTACAACTTAGCTTATAAATAATTTTTAGGTAGAAAAAAAGAAAGTATTCAAAGAAAGACTAAGTAGCTGCTCTTTCATTGACATTTGAGGCGTGGTTAATGACGCAGAAACGTTAAAAAGGAGTTAAATTAATTAATTAACAATACAGATTTAACTAGTTTAGTACAATATGTCATGGTCTTGTTGTAACGTATTATTATTTTAGTCGTAGCTTATAGTTAATCAGTCTAAGTAGTTTCTCTTTAATTAAGATTTTAGGCGTGGTTAATGAGTTTGATGTACAAACTTCCCTTGCGGAGTCAGAAATCTAGAACTGCGAAAACTTTTTTAATACTATATGCCATATGGTCATCCTCCAAAAGGAGTTGTTGTATCCATAATTGTAAAAATCTCGATTAATCATTATAATTTTATGTTTTTATATTTTTTTTATCAAAATAATTTTATCAATATTCTAAATGTTATTATAATTTTTTTACATTACAATTTGTTGAGATATATAGTCCCACATTGGTTGTATGTGCAACAAACGTGGAGTTTATAAGACCTTGGACACTCTCACCCTTTAACTTTTGGGGTGGTGACCTCTTAATATGGTATCAGAGCTTCGCCGCCCTCCACTTTCTCTTGTGGCATTTCTTAGCACAGGTAGGCTGGGCCTGTTGCATTGTCCACTCCTCAAGCCCAATGGACTCTCGTGTGAGGGGGCGTGTTGAGATATATAGTCTCACATTAGTTATATGTGCAACTAATGTGGAGTTTATAAGACATTGGACACTTCCACCCTTTGAGCTAACTTTTGGAGTAGTGACCTCAAGGTTCTTTAACACAATTTTATGTTTTATAATTTTTTAATTCTTTTTTGATGTTACTTCAAATCTCAATTTTAAAATTTTAACAACATTGACTGTACCAATTCAGAAATCCAACTGCAGTCTGCCAAACTATGCATATGAAGCGTGTCAAAATACGCCTCATTTGTCGCCCACCACCACTTTCCATGGACCGACAGCGATTTCTCACCAGATCCCACCAGTCTTAAATTCATCCCACTTGGAAAAATAATCATATTTAACATTTTCATGTCATTGTCAGATCAATTAAACAATAAGATTTTGTTTTCATTATGCCAACGACATTGGAAATTGGATAAAGAGGGAAAATGCCCATAATAGGCTCCTTAATAACTACTCATTAGTTGCCGAGTTTTATTTACATTAAAATGGATTATGTGTAAAACATATTCATCTAAGAGGGAGGAGTAAAAATTTTAAAATTAGAGGGGAGGGCAATGCAATTTAAACATATCTTATGGGAAGATATTGTTATTAACCAATGTTTTTGTTTATTTTCATCTCAAATTTTGCTTAATAATATTTTAATTAAGAATATAGTAAGAGGACATTATTCACTTCTAACATATTGATTCAGAAGAAAACTATTATCTTGGTCCCTAAAGGATTGGGTGGACACCACCTTAGTCCCTGAAAAAACAATGACATTATTTAGTTTCTGTAATAAAGAAACTGCCATTAATTTAGTTTTAGAAAGAAAATAACGTTAATTTAGTTTCTTAATAATAAAAATAAAATAAAATTCCTTTAGTAATTAAATCCTAAAAGTGTGGCATTAGTTTAGTCTCCCACTACTAATAAATGACATCAATTTGATGTCATTTTTTTTGTAAGAAACTAAATTTTATATTTTGAGAAGAAAAATTAACCTTTTCGAAAACCAGAATGAATATTTAATCTTGATTTGGCTAGGCCTTCAATAATTTGCTCTTTACATTGATGAGAGAGTATAGAAGCCAACTCCCTATATAATAGTTTAACGGGTCTGAAATTCATACCCAAAACAAAATCATTCTTGGAAGGAAATTAAATATTTCATCATGCGCTTAATTCGAAATTCATTTGGAAGAAATTCAATTAAACTAACATATATTTGGTACTAATGCCAGCTGAAGAGCTAAGTGCAGCAAAATACTAAAGGCTTGTTTGGTGGACAAGATAGGATAAGGGTAGGATATGACATGAGGTTGATACCCATGAGGTGAGGATATATTGGGTATCCAATATTGGTATCCTATCCTGTTGAATCATAACTCAGCTCCCCCCATAAGATAAGAAATCATGTCCCCATAATATAAGAAATCATGTATTAGATAGGATAAAATGAGACAATACGATAAGCTATTAGCTAATCATATCCTATTGACCCATCAAACAAGAGATAAAAATAAGATATAATAAGTTATCATATCCTATCTTTTTTATCAGGTGTTCCAAAGAGACCCTAAAAATTTGTGCAGATAAGAAAAAGGCCTAATTTACTACAACTTTCATCTAGACAAAGATGTAATATATAGGTATAACATAGGGAAAAGGAATATCTGATTTAGTCATGGGATTGAATTATCATTGTTCATATTAACCACACGGAACATAACCTTACGATGTGTAGATCTATGAAAGGCTTCTCTATAATGTGGATTTTTCATACGTGTTGACCTTTCAAATTATTCTCAAGGTGGCGGAGACTGTGGGCACTTGTATTCTTAAATGTTAGGTAACCGCTATGATGAGTAGACACTGGTGAGTTAAAAAAACCTATTTCTCCTTTTTTAAAAAGTGTGTAAAACCTATTTCTTAAATGTAAAGTTGTGTCATTTTAAATGAGAGAAAGAGATTAATTATAGAATGAGAGACAAAAAAATAAATAAAGGTGTGGATCCCACCTCTTTGTGAGAGTGAAATGACACAAGTTATATTATTTAAAAGGATAAACATTTTTTCCTTATTCTCATACTAATTAAGTTTTTTTAGGATTTGTTCTAATATATGAGGCGAAGAAAATAAATGCAACCAAAGGTTTTTCTTGCAACTTTAATTTCATCCTTGTAGTACTGATTTTATTTAAATGACATTTATGATTTAGGATAGGAGTCTATTGTCAAATTTATTCATGTTAAATACCAAATTGAATAATTATAGTTATACCAAATCATTGGACTTTGGAGGATATAATATAAAGTTTTATTAATTTCATGTTAAAGGAGATAAGTTATCTCATGTCATAGAGATAAACTTGTGCGCTCCACCGCCTGAAAAAAGAAAAGGAAAGAAAAAGTGGCATAGTTATCGAAGGATAGGTAGAAGAGAAATTTATCACATGTAATATAAGAGTAATTTTTTCTTATAATATAACATTCCTATTTGGCTTTCCTTTTAAGATTTAAACTTAACTAGTTAGCAAGAGAGAAGTCAAGGTACTCTCAATTAAGAAAGAAAAATTACCTATAAAAGTATTAGGTTATTCCATTTAACTATAGTTCTCAAGTTCGCTCTAGAAATGAAAAAAAAAATATCCAATGCTCAAGTGCTCGAACCAGTGGATATATTAAATAATAATAATAATAATAATTATTATTATTATAGGGAACGAGAAAGACAAGACTCAAGAGGTTAGAAAGATTCCTTTCCCAAGTAACAATGTAACATTGTCCTCTGTATATAAGTTGCTATGATGGACTAAGAGCTGCATCAAATAATCTAGTTGCTCTGTTTAGCTTTTCCAAATTCACATGGCCCCTTCATCAGAAACCAATACAAAAGTCACCAATGGGGATGCCAAGCATCTCAAACCAGTAGAAGGAGAAGATAGCCTCGAGTTTGCCATGGAAACGATGGGTTCTGTTGTGCTTTCAATGGCTTTGAGGTCTGCTATGGAGCTTGGCGTCTTTGATGTCATAGCCAAAGCCGGTGAAGGTGCCAAGCTCTCTGCAAATGATATTGCAGTTCAGATTGGCACCAACAACCCTGAAGCACCTTCAATGCTGGATCGTCTTCTCAGGCTGTTGGTTAGTCACTCTGTGCTATATTCCTCTGTTCATGAAGATCCACAAAACCTTGGGTTGCCTCAGAGGTTCTACAGCCTCTCCCATGGGTCCAAATATTTTGTCACTGATGCTGATGGTACGTCAATGGGACCCACGTTAGCATTGCTTCTGGACAAGGTGTTCTACCAAAGCTGGTGAGTTCTAAGGTTATGGTGAATTGTATTGTACGATAATATTAAGCTGTGAAGTCTTATTTATTGATAAATAAATAAAATGATTTGTTTGAGTTGACGAATCAGGAGCGAGCTAAAAGGAGCGATCATGGAAGGAGGTATACCATTCAACAGGGCTTATGGGATGCATGCCTTTGAGTATCCAAGTGTGGATCCCAGGTTCAATGAGGCTTTCAACGAAGGTATGCTCAACTCCACAAGTATAATTATGAAGAGGATTCTTGAAGTCTACCAAGGTTTTGAACACGTAACTAGACTTGTTGACGTTGGTGGTGGACTTGGGGTCAATCTCAAATTGATAACATCCAAATACCCTCATGTCAAGGGTATTAATTTTGACTTGCCTCATGTCATACAACATGCCCCCCTCTGTGCTGGTAATTAATTTCTTGAAATTCTTTAATTTTTATATATGTATAAATTCTGATGAAAATAATTATCTACTCCGCTTACTAATTTTGTGCCTTAAATTGACAATTATTCTAAACCTGCAGGTGTGGAGCATGTTGGAGGAGATATGTTTCAAAGCGTTCCCACCGGAGATGCCATTTTTATGAAGGTGGGCTTATAAAGCTTTTAATTTGCAGGAGTAATCCATCTAAATTTTCTTATTGTTCACTGTTCAGTATCCATAATTTGCTCCAATTAAAAATATCAGTATCTGGTGATTTTTAAAAAGTAAAAATCATTATAAAATTGTACATTTTTATCTCTTTTCTTTAAACAGCCGCACCCCACATATTTTTATGTGAATAGAAAATAAAATTATCACTTGTAAAATATAGCAGGTGCCACGCCTTAAATTAAATGTAGATAGTGCTTATGGCATCAAACATGAATATTGATTGACAATTGATATCATCAAAACTTTCAGTGGATACTTCATGATTGGGATGATGAACACTGCTTGACGCTCTTGAAGAATTGCTACAAAGCTATTCCTGATGATGGAAAGGTTATTGTGGTGGACTATATTCTGCCCGTTGTGCCTGAGACAACAACTACTGCCAAAACTGCTTTCCGATCTGACCTCTTGATGATGACTCAAAACCCTGGTGGGAAAGAGAGGACCCTTCAAGAGTTCATGGAATTAGCTAAAGGATCTGGATTTAGTGGCATCACATCCGTATGCTGTGTCTCTGGCTACTCGGTTATGGAGTTCTTCAAATAGCAACACGTGCACTGGTTTTGGCTCAAATCTTTGTTCTTTTTATCGGTTATGGCATTTTACATAGCATGGAATAATGTGGGTGTTAGAACTTGTGTATTTTTTTTTTTTTTTGTAAAGAGAACTTGTTTTTTCATTTACAAATAATTCATGAACATATAAGAATTCTAGCATATCTTGCTTATTAAGGCTATGCAGATGTAATTTTAGGGTATGAAAATTGTATCTTATAACATGGAGTACTGGATCCTCAGAACAACTTTCATCAATTATATATTATCATAAATAATTTTCTTGCAACTATATATGGTTTGCTCCATGGAAGCTTCTGGGTTATGGAGAGGTTGAAACTTGAAATGATCAATTATTGCCTGCCGCCCTGTTTTGCTGACCCTACCTACTCTGTATGAGTTACAATATGAAAAAGATGTTTGGTATTTTATTTTATTTTTCGATACCACGTTTAGTATTTTTTTTTTTTTTTGTTTAATGTGGAGATGTGACACGTGAGTTGAAACCATTTTCCAATATTCTGTTATCACGGAAAAACCATAATATATAATCAATATTGTTTAATACAGTTTCCATCAAGTACTGAAATCTCATTATTATTTAATTTATGAATCCGAATATTACAGTTAAGCCACCACTAGCACCACCCCTTTTACAAGATAAAGACTATCAGAATTTCGAGTACATGCACGTTCCGTCGAGCTAATATTCCAAGAACATGAGCCAGTTTTGACATTTTCATGCGCCTACACAAAAGACTCATTAAATACAAATAAAACGTGGCTAATACCAGTAATGATAGAAAACAACCTAATTTGTTGGTAGGGAAATCACTTTCACTTACCTTCTCTCAGTGGCGCAGCCACATATATACTTGGGCGGGGTTAAATTTTAACAATTATACTTATTATATATAATTATATGATTATATATAATTTGGTCTGGGTTAAAATTATAATTTAGTCCGAGCTACAATTTATAATTTGGTCCTATCTAAAACTTAAAATATTTTTGATAAAAGATTTGGATAAGTTGTATTGGGTTATGTGTTCAATTTCCACTTGTATAAAAAAAATATCTTTAGTAAAATTAAAAATATTTAATAAAAATTATAATTTTTCTTAGTATTGCCTGCTCAGGTGCTTTGTATTTAATATAATTTAAATAGAGAGGGTTATATTTACAAAAAATTTGTTTACAAACTATATTATGTACTCCCGAAAGTACACTAGGTTACATATTTATCAAAAAAAAAAAATACATTAGATTACATGATGTATTTCTGAGAGTATATAGTATAATTTGAAAAAATTTGTAAAAATTTTTGTAAACGGATCATTCCTAATTTTAAATATATTATGATATGAACTAATTAAAATTAAGAAAAATAAATACACATATAATTTTTTAGCCCGAACTTAAATTTGAACCTGACTCCGCCACTGCCTTCTCTTAGTTCTCTAATCATATCATTAATTATATCATTAATTAATAGCGTTCTGGGATCTTACAACGCCATTGGTAATTATTCCAATTCGGATGTGGAATGTCACAAAATAGCACAAAAGTGTCGCAGAAAAAAAGAAAGAAAAAAACTTAACCTCCCATAAAGTCACAGCCGATGGGTTCATCACGACAAATTGGGTTGAATCCTGCGAGTCAATCCACAAAAATAAAATACGTATTTTAATTCATCAATTTAAATAATTTGTCTATATGTAGGGTGGGTTAAAATGGGTCATAGCTGGAGCAAGGTGAATCAACCCGCAAATCAACTTGTATATAATTTTTTTTAAAAATATATATTAAATATTAAATTATGAATTGATTGGTCTACGTGAAATGTGAATAACTATTATGTAAGATAAAAAAAAAATTTGGGCCATAATGTTATTATATATATTGCTGCAAATGTTATTTTTTATTTACTTTTGAATCTTTGATTTAGATTAACACAATAAATAAAATAAACTTAAGTATATTTTTGAATTTAAATGCTAGTATCTATATAAATCAAATTAATGCTTGTGAAATAACACTGAAATGATGTGTTTATTTGTAAATATTTACATGCTTGATGTCATTATTTTGTTATATAATAATACTAAAATTATTAATTAATCATAATATATGATTTGTATAATTATATTAAATGAAATCATTGGTTTAAATTTTTTTTATCTTTAACTTATTGCTTGATTTTTTTTAAACTTGAGAATTATTTAAATGTTAGAGATTAGAAATAAAATATTAGTATTCATATATTTAAATATTTTTTAATATTTTATATTTTAAGCGGATAGACCTGCCAACCTACCTCAAAATGAGATGTAGTTGGTATTTTCAACCACTCATTAATGATAGGTGATAAACCTTTAGTTTATCTTGTTTTATGGACTAGAATCACATGAATTATCAAGTCAAATGAGTGAAATCTAGGGTTTATTGACATAAAATCATGATTTTGATGAATTATGAATTAATTATTATATATTGTTGTTTTTAAGGGATTTGAAGATAAAAGGAAACAAATTTGAAGATATGGGAAGATGGAGATCAAACCAGAAGATTTGAAGATCTATATCAAGATTATCAAGTTGTTAAAGAGGAGGCTTAAGCCCCCTAAAAATTCAGAAATTCCAATCAAAGAGCAAATGGCCTCTGCCTTTGGAGGCTTAAGCTCCCATTAGGAAGCTAAAGCCTCCTAAATACGTAAATGTTCTCGGCTTTTGGGCGCTTAAGCCCCCAATTTTGGGCTTAAGAGCGCTGCAAGAAGGAATTTTCAGCTCGAAGAGCGCGCTTAAGCGCGCCACGTTAATCTCGCATGCACTGCCTTAGGGGGCTTAAGCGCCGATGACCAGGCTTAAGCGCCCTAGAAACCCAACTTAGGCCCAATTCGAGTTATTCACTTAGGGCACGATTCTTGGCCATTAAAAAGACATTTTGGGGTCAGAATTAATCACTTTTGACATTCAAGAAGAGCTCTTGGTGCTTGGAGGCAGAGGAAACGCGGAGAAACACCCAGTTCATGTTCGTGAGCGGCGGAGACGGATCAACATCAAGTCTGCATTGGGGATATTGAAGATTCACCAATCATCTATGGAGTTTGAGGGAGCTTTTATATTGTCTTTCATTCTTGCTATTGTTATGTCTGGCTAAGTCTTTTAGTAGTTAGGGTTAGATGGAATTCAATTTCGTTATTAAGCTTTGAACAATTCGTTATGTTAATTTTCTTTTATGTCATGAATGAAATTATCTATTCTTAATGCTTTATATAGGCTTGAATCTTATATATTGATCTTAGGTGAATGCATGACAATAGGAATGTTGGTATGTGATCCTAATCTGATAATTTCATCGCACGCTTTATGATTCTAGGGATAGACATAGAGTTTGCGTAATCTTTATGGTTCTTGAACTTAATGCTTACCTTCTTGGAGAATAACCGGGGAACTAGGATTCTTGCAAGATTGTGAAGATTTAGGGTAACAGGGGATTGAGCTCTAACTACATAAGAAAGAATTGATTAGATTGATATTAAGGACGATTAACGTAAAGAAGAAATTCAAACGTAATAAAGAGGTTAAAGGAAATCGAAACCCTAGCTACGTTCTTTTAAATTAGTTAATTCAATTCTTTAAATTCTTGCCTTTAATTTCTTGCTTTTAAATTATTGCGAGTACTTCGTTTTATTCTTTTAAATTCCAAATTCAAATCATGTTACCAATACAATTTCGATTGTCCAACTTAAGTTGCAATAGTGAATTAGTGCTTGAGTATAATCCTCGTGGGAACGATATCTTATTCAATCATTATATTACTTGTACGATCGGTGCAATTGCCGTGAGTCGCAACAATAGGTTGAAGGCGGGGCGAGTTGGCCCATTTTGCAATCTCTAAATTTTCTTTCACTGATTTGTCGACCAACTTGCAATTTGGAAGACAAAATTAAGAATTCAAAATGACAAAAAAACTATAAAAAAAACCTTTATTTTTACACATTTTGAATATTTGTATTTACAATTGAAATACTATAATGATTAAAAAAATTAACTTATGAAATATTAAACGTCGTTATTTTAATTTAATAGTTGTGTTATTATGTTAATATTATAGTAATTTTGTATATTATATCTTAATCTTGTTGTGCTTTATACTTTATATAATTTATCGTATTCACATATTACTATGGTGTCGTCCCGTAATTATACCCATGCTTTTCTAGAGTTACATTAATGATCAATGCTATTTATTCTAATACTTGTATCAAAATCTTTACATCAAATGATGTTCTAATCCAAGTTAGAAAACTTCTCTGCATATCATTAATCGAATTTGATAAAATTAAATGTATTTAAAACTTATTACAATTAAAATTAACGAAAGATTTGGATTACATAAAAGAAAAAGATTAGGATTTAGCCAAGTGATGACACTCTCGTTGGTTATTTAATATTAGTTTAACAGAAAGATCTAATAGAATAAAAGTTAAAAATTGTGTGCTAATTGGGACAAATTTAGAGTTTATAATTCACTACTAGAAAAGTCTTAATTTTTGACGAAAAATAGATTCTGTTGAATTTTTTTGATAGAAAACGAATTTCGTTGAAAATCTTATAAAAAATAAATGAAAAATACATTACATTTGTGAATTTTCGACGGAAAAAGAATTCCGTCGAAAAATTTATAAAATTAATTAAAAAAACTATATTTCTGAATATTTTGACGAAAAATTAATTTCGTCGAAAATTTTATAAAAAAAAAATTAAAAAAAATTATATTTGTGAATTTTTCGACGAAATTTGACTTCTGTCGAAAAATTCATAAATATAATTTATTTTTTGATTTATTTTAAAATAATTTTCGACGAAATTCAATTTCCGTCAAAAAATTTTGACGAAAAATGAATTCCATCGAAAACCATTATAAAAAACAAATAATAAAAAATTATATTTATAAATTTTTCGACAGAAATTATATTCCGTCCAAAACTTTCGACAAAAAAGAAATTGCGCTAGAAACCTTATAAAAAAAATTAAATCGTAAAAGAAATTATATTTACGAAGTTTTCGACGAAAAATTCACAAATATACAATATATAAGTGAAATAACTTTTCATTGTATTTTGGGACAGTGACTAGATTGCCATATTTATGGTAATTTTTTATCAATATTCTACGCGAAAAGTATTTTGTTTTCCAAACTGATACGTTGAAGTTCTTTATAACTTGTAACGAACTTGTTAGCTAATGATATGGTAACATGTGGCACACTTTCGCAGAAAAAATTGACTTCTACATGTCCAAGTTGGTTACGACTTGTAGCGAACTTGGTAGTTAATAATTTCGTGACACGTGACAAAAAAGTTGACTGGACTAAGTTCGCTACTATAAATAGCTGGTAGCAAACTTGGTGGGCTATATGGCACAATTCCGTTGTCCGATCCGAATTAATGTATCAATCACAATAAAAATAATTAATGGTGGAAAAAATGACTATTTAATTAATGTATCAATCATAATTAAAGTACCAATCATATAATCATATAGGACAATTTTTTATATTTGTCTCCATCATAATTGTCATGCCGACTTGGTTCATATCCTTCTGTCTTACAATAATTTGACTAATCAAAGCTTAGCTCATCCAATATTTTGAATACCCTCGTGCTGAATAATGAGTAAGACTTTTATTTAAAATAAAATTATAAATTATATATTTTTGAAAATATATAGATATAATATTAATTTTTTTTATTTTTAAAAAATATATCAATACATGTATTATACTCCTATTAATAGGATGTAAATATTAGATAGTATATATATATTTTTTTCATCAAAAAGATATTTGAGCTAGGGATGAACGTGTGTAAACATGAAAAGTATAAACATTGTTAAAGAAATTACTGTAAATAAATTTTTAAGAGAATTGCTATGATGGTAAGTATTATCGATTATTAGTTTTGTTATATATATTTAAAGTCTGTTAAATACAATTAATAAATGTGTCTACTACAAAAATTAAATATTTAATAACTGATTCAAAAAATCGATAGTCAATGAAGAATAGCGGATTAAATATTACATGGTTTAGTGACTATATGTACGATAACGTCTACGATTACAACTTAATTCTATATTTTATGACAACAATGTTGCTAAAAAACTGATTTTCTTCTTCTTATTTTGTTATTGATTGCGGGACATTACTATCATAACTACCTATAATATAAAAGGATAAAGAGCTCACATGCATAAGACAGAAAAGGATATTCTAAAATCAAGATAAATAAAATGGAATTATATATTCTAAAATCAAGATAAATCAAAAAGGAATTTCTTTTCTTTTGAAAATTAAATTATAAGTAATGGAAGACGTGCATGAAATGTAACTAAAGTTCGGGTGATTTTAGTTAATATATGTTATTCTTAATTTCTTTTCTTTTGAAAATTAAATTTATAATTCTTTTAAATTATATATATATATATATATATATATATATATATATATATATATATATATATATATATATATATATATATATATATATATATATATATATATATATATATGAGAAAGGTTATACTTACAACTTTTTTTTTTCAACCTCTTAAAACCATATTTTAACACCGTAGATTTTCGTCAATCAACAGTTATCATTTATTGTGAGTTAATAATTAATTAATGAGTTTAATTTGCGAAAATCATAACCGTTAATTGGCAGAAATCAACGGTATTAAGATATGGTTGTAAGAGGTTGTAAGTATAACCTTCCTCTATATATATATATATATATATATATATATATATATATATATATATATATATATATTAATATCTTCCCACCTAACTTTAATTCCTTTAAACTTTGAATTAAAATTCCTTTAAATTGATTATATATTTATTCAATTTTAAATTCTTTTTTTTTATCTATATAAATTGGAATTTACCATTGAATTAATAATGCATATATTATTTATAATTTTAGATATATTTTTTCTTTTTAATATATATACTTCATATATTTTGCTAAAATTTAAAATACTCATATAAATGTACATACTTAAAACACGTTAAAAAAAGTAAAAGCTTTTAAAAGCTTAAAAAGTTATGTCATGTCATGAGTGCCATGTTTATTAATGGTCTTCAATTCATGTGTCCTTAGATTAATTAAATGGATGATTGAATATTTGCAATCTTTCTATGCATGTACCTCACATGACTTTGGAAATGCTTTAACATTTGAATATTTCAATATATTCATGCATTTATGTTATTTTCATCCAAAATAAAATATTTAGGGATTCACTATGATATGATTTTATTAATCAGGCATTTCTTCCACCGTGGACATTTTCAAATTGGAAGATGATGCTCCTGATGAAGAGAAGATAGATGGTTAGAGACGAAGAAAAAGGCCAAGGCGGGTTCAAGTCAAGGAAAGCCTTGAGTGAGGAGGCTTTTGATCAGTATCCATGTGTATGAAGATGAGACTTTTGATCATAAGTCTGCAAAACTTATCACTCTTAGGTTTGAGTAATTGGTGAAGTTGAATATTGTATGTGTTGGAATAGAAGAATTGTGTATTGATATAAAGTTCAAAAAAGAATGAGCGGTTATTGTTTCGTTCAATAATGAAGTCAATTTCGTATTGTGTATAGATATGTTAAATTTTATTTGTTAATTTTTTAAGGTTACAATATATACTTATTGTACACTACTAGCTAATTGTATAAGTTTGTTTTATAATACTTAGCCTAATATATGATATGAATTTTTGTGCATTTAATGTATTGATTAAGGAGATTTAATTTGATATGATATTTACTTTGATTATATTTTTTATCAGGTGCAGTACAGAAAATTGGTATTGATTTTGTAGAAAGTAACTTTTTAAAAAAAATCTAAAAAATTTCGACGGGATTTGTTTTTCGTCGAAAATATTTACGTTAGTTTTCGACGAAAATTTATTGATTTGTCGTCGAAAATTTTCAACGAAATTTCATTGATTTTCCATCGAAAACCATTACAACAATTTTCGACGAAATTCCATTGATTTTCGTCGAAAAATTTGTTATCTACGAATATAAATTCGACGACCTGAATTCTGTCGAAAAATTTATTTTCAACGGATTTTTTCGTTAAAAAAAATAGACTTTTCTAGTAGTGATAATGTCTCTTTACAAACAACTCAAAATTCAGAAAAGCTCAATATTACATAATGCAATACAATAATATTGTTTATAGTTATAACTTTTTTACGTTGAATTTACTTCTAATTTACTATATGATAGCATATTTAAAAATTTGTTACAAAAGTACAAAAAGTTGTGATTATTATAAGAGTTTGTATTTTCTGCTGTAAATCAATATAGATAAGTTGTTTACATTGAGCCCAAAACGATGTCGTTTTAGGATAGAAATCATGATATTTTTATAGGGTTCTCTTTTTCTGCAGTTACTGCAGATAAGTTATCTGCAGTAAGTTCAATACGACATCATTTTGGAGCGAAAATCATGGTATTTTTGTAATTTTAATTTATTTCAGGGTTATAATAGTCTTTATATTGATAATTTTTTTAAGATTTCAATATCAAAACGACGTCGTTTTGGAAATAAATGCAGATAACTTATCTGCATTAACTGCAGAAACATTTTTCCCATTTTTATAATTATAATTTTTTGCTGGATTATAATAGTCTTTTTTATTATAATTTTTTAATCTTTCAACTCAAAATGATGTCGTTTTGGGAGTGAATCTATATTTACTGTAGAAACATTAAAACTTTATTATAATAATATGATGTTTTTTACTTATTGATATTATAAAATGAATTTCAATAAAATAAGGATAATTTGCGTGCCTAATGCAGAATATAAGAAACCTAAAAGGAAATGTTGCCTAAATTTACCGAGGATGAGAGGACCGAAGGAAAAAGTCTTGGACAAAATTGGTCCAGGAACTGTGTGATCCAGATGTATATTAAATATGGACTTTGAGATTTATACATCCAAATACAATGCGGAGTGCGGACTATTTAAGCCTCCAGTATGGATCTGGTCTACCCAAAAATGAGTCAGACTAGACTATATAAATGATGATGAGACACGCCTTCCAAGCCGTGATTAAATTTGAATGACATCATTATTAGGACATCTTAGGAATTAGGGAAAATTCAGAAATATTCTTTAATTTCTGCTTTAAAATAAAAAAATACCTCCAAGTTTTTATTTTCTAATCAGTAATGTTTCTATAATAAAAAATATTTATACCCCTCTTTAACCGTTAAAACCTTTATATATTTCTTTCATCATTGCCCTATTTAAACAACGTATAGGTGTCCCTTTTGCCTGGACAGACAGGATTACCCCTGGAGTGAGCTTTTGAAACATGCGTCATGATTTAACAGTGGTTCACATAGCCGAGCCCGAGAGATAAAAGATAAAGCGAAGTTGAAAGGTATAAGTGTATAACCGTATAACGATATGAATATTAGATCAGAACCTGTAGGCAATGATCAATTATTTGTCAGGCCTTGGATGAGTATTATTGCAAACATTGCTACGGAAATAAAAAATGGAAGGTATGTTGGAGAAAGTGGTACCAAACTAATGGACGAGTTTACCCTAACATCTTGAGGTGAAGCAGCACCGAAAAGGGATAATTGAAGAAATGATATTTTGTTACGAACCTTTATAACTCTTTTCGGAGCCTCAACTCTTAACGAAAGTATCAATTGTTACGAATTTTGAGATCATTATCCCAAAAGCTAGGGTAAAAGTGCTTAAAGTCTTATAAATCTCATATTAGTTTCTTATACAAATAATATGATTGTCACCCCTTTAATTAAGGGGCAAGATTCTAACATCTTGAGGTGAAGCGGAACCGAGAAGGATAATTTAAGAAATAATATTTCTTTGAACATGATTAATATATGGGTTCATCTAATCTCATATTACATGAGAGATGATATCTTATGTTATAGAGATATATGTGGTGGGATCCACTATCTAAAAAAAAAAGAATGTCACAGTTTTCGATGGGTCTATAGGAGATAAACTACTCTTATGTTGCATAGAGTAGTTTTTCCCTTAATATATATATATATATATAGACATAGTTACATTTATTTTCAGGCTAAATTACCTTACATGGGATAAAGTATGGTCAGAAGCTTATTGCGACAAAATGAAGCATGATTACATCTTCAACCCAGTGCTGCAAGAATGCCTCCCTCTTTTAGCTGCTCCCAATTATTTCGCTATATGTTTCTTTTATTTTCCGTACAAAAGCTTCCCTGTAATTGTGGAAAAACATTGATCATGAAGTTAATTCATTGAACCGAATTGTAGTAAATTATTCAAGAAAAATTGAGCCTACCGGTCTGGCTTGAAAACTAGGTTCTTGTAAGCAAACCACTGCAAATAAAGACACAGAAGATAATAAATAGATGTTCCTAAACTCGAGGATTTTATTTTATTTTATTTTTTAACTACTATTGTTCATTTCCAATTGTTAACCATTCGGTCTTTTGCAGTTTTCACTCCAGGGAGTGACCAAGGGTGATAATAATATAAAGTTCATATTTGAATGTTTCTACTATTATGCCTCACCCTGATCACGTAATTCAATTGCAGGATTCATTATAGTTAAAACCATTTTACGAGATAGTTAAAAAAAGAAGAAGGTAATAATAATAAGCTAGGGGGAAACAATCTTATCCAACTGTCATAAGCATAAAACGTGCAACAGAAGCCAATAGTAAAATGTAATCATCGACTTACCCCAGTATAGCCAATGCCTACGACCTCAAGAACCCCAGGAATTAAAGGAAGCCTATCAATTGCCTGTTATAAGTGATCGACAGTCATCATTGCTTAGGACAACTTTCATCAAATGCATTATCACAAAATATTGTTAGTTGCACCAAAAAGGTTGTAATTAATGATAATTAGTGAAAAATTAATGATTATCAGAGAATGAAAATTGAGCATTTAAATAACATACTGAGATCATCCCAGCTGAGCCCCACATAGCAACCACACCAGCCACGGCTAGTGAACTCACTGCATATTTATCTTCAACTTTGTCCCACTATGCAACCAAAAATAACCAAGTCAAGTCAGCAATACTGAAAACACTTCCTTCCTTTTAACCAACAAAGAAGCAATACTTAAAAAAAAAAAAAAAAAATGAATTTGAAATCCTTACAGCTTCTTGAATAGTCTTGACAAAATCTGGCAGCTCACTAACACTGAGCTCAGGTGTGGCAATTTGTGGTGGTGCCTCTCCTGTGGTAGCCATTGCCATAACATTGCGAGCAATCTTGCGGCCTGAAATCATCAACCTAACAAATTACCTTTTTCTATATAACACTAGAAATAAGCAACATTTGTGTTTCATGAGGCTGTGAAGGCTTTTTGTAATTGACTTACAAAAAGCAGTGGTCTTCCATGGACGAGTCTGAGATTGAACAGGTGGAGGGGGAAGAGTGGGAAGGTTCACACTTTGTGGGGTAGCACTTGGTGATTGTCTGGGAGCCTTGCCATCAACAAGGGTTGATGAAGAGGATATAGTGAGAGTGGAGGAGGATGTTGAGGCCATTGCAAGTGAACAATTGAAAGATTGAGGCAGCCAGGTGAAAAATAGCTTGAGTTATTGAGATATTTACTCTGTTTCTAAATTTTCTTGGGATGTCAATGTCAATGGTGTATGATAATCTGAAAAAGGAATGTGGAGATGTTTCTGCCACAGTTTGAAGTGCAGAACCACTCATTTCTTGTCATCTGGATAGTGTGATGACATGACATGACTGGAAGATAGGGCTTTTATGGTATTTCATTGGATAGGAGGTTCCTGGCTGGCCTTTTTCAAATGCTTATGTTTCTTGCAAGGGTCAAGCCATGCAATTCTATCTCTTTCCCTGTTTATTATATCTCATGTCGTATAAATAAAATGTGTGAGATCATTTTATTTTATTTTTCTTACTTTTTTGTATATATAAGAAATAATTTTATCTCTTGTAATATGATAAACATCAAACTCCTCTTTTAAAACACTTAAATTCGCCCCACTTTTGTGACTGCTTTCTAACAAAAAATAAAATAAAATAAAAATTTTGCTTATCTTGCAATGTAACTAGAAGACGACCATGAGATGAACTTCTCTGGGTGAAAAACAGCAGCACAAAATATCTGATGTACGGTCAATTTGTTATGGTTGGAGGGTGTTTTGGCATGACTAGAAAAAAAATAAAAATCCCCAATCGCTTTTATCATTGGTTGGGTAATCGCAATTCACAACCAACCATTTTATTTCATGTTTGAGGTGGTAAAGGGAATCCGTGAATGCTTAAAAGGGCTATGTTATCCTACAACATAGATAATAGCCATTGCCAAAAAAATAAAAATAAAAAAGAGGATAATGGCCCAGGATGCCATCACTTAACACTTCGAAACCAACCATATGCATTGGAGTTTGGAATTTGGATATTTTGTTGGGCCTAAATCTCGTATTGCAGTTTTTGGATAAGAGGAGAAATGGACAAGGTGGTATATGTACCTTGCGACATAATATCTTTGAAGGTTAGTAAGATTCATGTTTTGTTTTGAACAAATTCACTCATAAATTTTTAAATAGTAAATTGAACTTTTGTCATTTACATTTTTACTTATTCAATGAATAAATAAAATAAAATATTTTAACTTTAAAAAATATTTGAGTTCAATTTCAAGAAATCAGAAAACAAAATGGCAAAATCATTCCTACAGCCGCTGCACATACAACAAGCTAGGATACAGTTTCGTATCTTGGCTTTTTTTTTTAAGAAAAGCAGTGGGGCCCACTTTTCTGTGTCAGTTGCAGATAACAGCTCTTTACAGCCGCTGCAGAAAAGTGTCCCCTTATAAAATTATTATTAACTCTACTTATTTTCACAAATGTTAAATATAAGAATTTTTTAAAACTTCTAATAATATTAACATATATAAATTTTTCATGAAATTAAAAATATAACATATAACATAAAACTAATTAATATGCAATAAATTACGCATCAATTGAAAATATTTTTTAAATATCTATTGGTAAATAATATATTGTGAATCATGTATCAATTTGTTAACTCAGAGTTATATTTTTTTATACTGTACTATTTTAAAAAGTATTTATTGAATAAATTTTATCATATTAAATGTTATTATGTGATTTTAATGTAAATAAATAAATTAATAATCAATAAAATTGTATATTTTCTTACGAAATGAAAAAAAAATATGTCAATAATTGAAATTTTATTTTTATTTTATTTCATTTAAAAATATTTTTTTATCAACTTATAAATAATTGGAATACAAATAACAAAGATAAATGAGTATTTCGCTATTTAGGAGGGGCTACTATATTTTGATTTTTTTAGAAAACTCAAAGATAATGGCCCAAGGCCATTAATTGACACTTAAGCCTAGCCCAAATTATTGTTATTAACTGATTTATTCATTGGGATATGTTTTTATCATGGTGCACGAGACAAATTATCTCATGTTGTCTAAGGACTCACTTTTTTCTTTCTCTCTCTTCTTCTTAGTGGATTTCACTCTTTTTTTTTGTGTTGCAAGAAATAATTTTTCTTATGCAACATGAGACAATTTGCCTCATACAACATGAGAAAAATATTTCCCTTGTTTCATTTCAGTAGGCTTATTTATCATATCGTAACAAGTCCATAACGTATAGCAGGATGAAAGACGAAAAGGAACTTCATGTCTCAAAGTCAAGGCTTTTATGCATGCAATGGGTTTCTTTTAACTGTATTATCCAGTGTTCTATAACTCCACTTCTAATGGAATTTAAGATTTCGAGGGAAAATAAAAAGAGGAATTCGAGATTTAATAACATATCCCAAGATTTAAGTGGAAGTTAATTAACACAAGTTCGCTATCGCAATTTGTTTATACTATATTTTCAGATAGCCATATTAGAAATTGCAAATTCCCGTAAGATTATATTATGATGGAGCAAGTCGTATTAGGGGTGTTCGCAGTGTGGATTGAATCGGTTTTGGAAGCAAAAATCATCCGATCCAATACCTTCGGTTTGATTATTTAATCATCCATTCGGTTTGGATTTTTTTTCAAATCCGATCCAATTTTTTTCGGTTTGGATTAGATCGGTTTTCGGTTTTTTGAAATCCTAAAATTTGTTTCATGATTATTGTGTGAATAACATCTTTTGTAAATATTGACTTTGTAATTTTTATTTTTTGAAATACAAAAACAGCAGTAAATCGATAATATAATTTATTTTTTTTGCAATGAAATATGAAGCTCTACACAGATAAAATTTTGATGATAAGATGTGATTAGGTTTTTTCTTAGGTGTAGTTGATGGGTTAACAAGTCTTGGGTTTAGAAATTTTTGGACTATGATTGGGGAAAAGTCTAAGTAAATAGAGAAAAATTAATATATTGGATTGGTTTTCATCAACCCATCCGAAAACCGATCCAATCCAATTAAAATTTGCAGTTTTTTTTCGGTTTTCGGTTTTTCGATTTATTTGGTTATCGATTTTTCGGTTCGGTCACCGCGGTTTGAATTGGTTTGGATCAGTTGATGAACACCCCTAAATCGTATTCATTGTCTTCAAATTCATGTTTCTAAAATAAAGAATTTCCTTGTTTTTCGATATTTTATTATTCATCCATCCGGTTTAATAATTAATACTCTCTCTGTGAACAAACTTAAGAACATATATATGTAAATATCATATGCTTGAAAGTTGAAAACTTTTTTTTCTTTTAAGTTAGAATTCCCTCCACCCTCCCTATCCAAGCCCCCTAGCTCCCAACCACCTATTTCGGGAGTCCCTTATCTCTTTCCATCCTGATGTTGTTTGCTTATGTTTAGGAATTGGGCAAGGACTATTATTAGTACTACTTCACCTTAGTAAAAAATTGGCAAAAAGTAATTCAAATGGTTAAAAGGATAGAACCATATACATATATATAGTCTTTTTTATTTGGTAATCTACATATATATATACTAATAGTCCCCACCGTACAGATATGTTTTGTCTTGTGTTTTAACTTTACCCAAATCAACTCGTCTTCTTGTGTTTCATGCCTGCAAGGGCATCTCTATAGCTGGATATTTAGATATATACTTCAACAAGTTGTTTCTCCTCGTGAAAAACACAACCACAGACTCCAGATATATGGTATCTTACCCTTCCTTTCCCAAAAGCTCACTCTCCACCAATAATCCATTAGCTTACGAGTAATGACTCATCCCCCCAATCACAATCACACTTCTCGTGACGTTTAATATATATATGTCAATGGCTTTGGTTTTTACTAGTATATATAAATTGACTTAACTTGCCTAGGTTTGATGTCTTTGGTGCATTCGAAGTATAAACTTATTAAGATTAAGAAACAATGTTTAGTGGATCATTAATATTTTAAAAAATTCTTTTAATTGTCTACGCAAAACTAAATAAAGTAAATTTCAATTAGGATGTTCGCCTCTCTAAACGCCAGTTACAACTTAATAATTCATGAATTTGATTTTGATAGTATTACTATACAATACATTGGCCAAATTACAAAAGAAAAAAAAGATACAATGAAAATAAAAGAAAAAGGATTGTGGAGAGCTTTAACCAAATGATGATAACTCAGTTGGAGCATGAGTGTGAAAACATGTGTTCTATTCTTTTCAATATCATCTTTAGGAAGAATTTAAATCTTTAATCCTAAACTCGTCCCGAACAGAATTGTTTCCGGTGGTTAAGGATATATGTTGTTTATCTAAATAAATAAATAAATTGTGGAGAGCCGGTACTGGGTTTTGTTTGGCTTATAGAGATAGGGTATGAAAATTGGAGGTGAATGAATGGAAGGTGTTGAATAGAGCCAGTTACAAGTACCCGAGTGAGATTTGATGTTTGGAAAGGCTCACAAACTTGACTAAGGCCTTTTCCTGAAAACCATAGAGTCTGAGAGAGATCAGATCTTGTCTTTCTCAATGATCTGCATGCCTACGATCCGAATCTCTCTGACCTATCTAACGGTAGCGTACTCCCCCAACCCACCAAAACCAAAGAGTCAAAGAAACACATGCACACTAAGACAAAAGCAGACAAAAACCACAGGCCTAGTAGTGCAGTGTGTCTTTGACCCTTCAGAAGTTCATTTCTCACAGGAAATAAGTAACCGTGAGTATATATGTATATAACCACAAGCAGAGATTGAAACTCTTAACATTTTTAACCCATTCAGCTTTTGGTCATGATGCTTGTAAGTTTTCAGAGGCAAAAAAAAAAAAAAAAAGTCAATTCAAGGGAGCAGAAAGGTTCTCTTTGGAATTTGAAGCAAGCACTTAAATTGGTGTTTGATTGGGAACTTTTCAGCAGATATCTATCTTTCTCAAGTATGGCTTTTAGAAATACCATGTTTGTTTCAACGTTTTTCACCAAAAACTCATCTATCCAATTTGTCTGGATTTATGAAAAATATAGATATCCGCACTGTTTAGAAACCCAATTTGAAGGTGGGATTTTTCGGAAAACCGATTATCTGGCTTTTAATGCACTGTTGATTTCATAAAGTTACCTAATTTTCTCAGTAAAGTTTTTCCCCACCAAACAACTTTTTTTTACATTTTTCTACCTATCTCACTTTATCTATATTTCCAATCATTTCTCTAT